ATAAATGTAATTAATTAATTTTAATTAATATTAAATTAATTATTTAATTAAACTAATTATCTAATTAATTAATTCCAATCCTCAATTTTCCTTAATTTGGGTCAAAGTCAAAGGTTATCTTTTATTTTATCTCAATTTTACTTAGAACTTTCTTGATTAAGCAATTTAGTCCATGGGTCTCAACCTTTTTCAAATCAGTCTTTAATGTTTCAAATTTAATCAAATTAGTCCATGTAATGCTTATTTGTGCTTATGTTGCACACGTCTTTGATTTTGTTTATTTTAGTCCAAAATTTAAAAAATGGTTCAATTTGGTTTATCCTTTTTAAATATATATATATATATTTTTAAGACTTAAACATAGATATTGAATAAGTTGAATCAAAACTTTAATGTTAAAGTATGCAATCGTGTTTAAATGGAAGATTATGAGGTGTGTGTATGCCTTTCTTCACTCCTAATTGAATTCTTGAATCTCGATCTTTGCACAGACCCGTTTTAAGTGACTTGTTTCATCTTATAATTTGTGATGAGTGACAACTTTCTTTTCTTTTATATTTTCACACTTAATTTTTCATTATTTTGGAATCTTAAGTGGTCGTCAACAACTTTAGGTAGAAAATACTAATTATCTCCTCACCTTGATATATAAACCCTTCACTAAATTTCATGGAAAGTCAATTTTGAACTTACATTATCATGACAATTGCTCAATATTTAAAGGTTGACATCACATAACAACATCTTTCTGTTTAGATTTAACTATACCTGTTTGAGTGGATCCCATTTACTAACGTGTGAGTATTTAACAATTAATAAATTAATATTTGATTAGACTCAATTGAAACCCTTAAACCGTAAAATTTTGGATTGTGGGACATAATCAAAGAAATTAGAATTTAAAGGGCTAAAGTGCAGATCTATGGAAAAGAGCGGACAACGGAATAAAATTATGAAGATAAAACAAAAGCGTAAAGAAAATTTCTGTGAACGGTGTCGTATTTGGTAAGGGATTTAAATCAGGAAAGTAGTCTTGCGCCTTCTGATTCTGCGAAAATCCCTAGCGTTTCTTCCTAAATGCACCCAAGATTGTTCGCAATTATGGCGAAGGATCCCAAGATCTCCTTTAGCTGTGCTTACATGAGAAGCCTGGAGGGGGCTCCTTCTCCTTCCTAAATCAAGTTGCTTGGGGAAGAGGTAAAATCTCCAAATTTCAGTTTTTACTCTTTCTTTTTAGGTAAAGTAGGCTGTGTTGTTCGTTGAATTCAATTTGGTTGGATTTGAAGAGAAATAGTTATATTATTATATGAGATGGCGGAAAACTAATCAAAAGACTTAAATATCCTAAATGAACCATGACAGTTAAAAATATCAGGATCAGGATGTCCTGAAAAACAAGCTTCAGTTCTAACATCTGCTACTTTTACAAATAGAAAAGGAAAAAAAAAAAACTCCTCACGACCTGAGAGTAGTAGTATTACTATATCTATCATAATATGATAAATGCAGTGTCTTTAAACCTCTATGATTTCATCTTCATTGCATTCATCTCTTCTGAGTGTTGAGGTTTCTCCATGGTGTGTCAATACCTCAGAGTCAGTTGAGAGGCCATGTCTCTTACCAATAGCAGCTAGTTTTTTGTACAATTGAAGCATTGTTGGCCTTTGATCTGGATATGGTTGAACACAATCCAATGCAACCTTCAGAAACTGAAAGATTTCCTGGTCAAATCCTTGCCCCATCAGTGATTTATCAACAATGCTATAGAAATTAGAGCTTGTAGAGAGATGTGTAACCCAATTGTTGAGTGTCTCATTGCTAGTGTCTGAGTATGTTGTCATGCTTCTAGGATCCTCTCTAGTGATCAGCTCGAGAAGCAAAATTCCAAAGCAATAGACATCCTCTTTAGCAAAGCTTGATTCCCAAAACTCACTATTAATTGAGAAGCTTTCAGTTGAATCAATGCTGTATGATTTCAGGAGCATTGCCTCTCCAAAGTTTGATAACTTGGGAACAAAGTTCTCATCAAGTAAGATGCACTTGGAGCTAATGTCAAGATGGATTACGTGGAAATTGCACCTCTGATGGAGCCAAACCAAGCCTCTTGCTGCTCCAATTGCAATTTTGACCCTTAAGGGCCATTCCATGATTCTTGCCCCACCTTCCTCAGGATGTAGCCAATCACAAAGACTGCCTTTGGACATGTATTTGTAAACCAAAAGCCTTTCCTTCGACTGTATGCAGAATCCCAAGAGGGGCACGAGGTTCTCATGCCTCAATCTACCCAGTGTCTTCAATTCTGTTATAAAATGCTCATCAAATAGGTAAGTGTCATGTAATCTCTTCACTGCAAGGAGCCATCCATTAGGCAGCACTGCCTTGTAAATTGTCCCCATTTGTCCAATTCCAATGATATTTTCTTCATTAAAATTGTTTGTTGCTTCACTAATTTCTGTATAACTCAGTCTTGAAACCAGTTTCACCAAGATAGAAGTCTGTGATTGAGATCCACGTTCAAATATTAACACTAGAATTATGACGGAAATTACAACCGAAGTGAGTTATGTGCTAGAGATTAAGAGTGTACCTCTTTGCTTTCTTCATGTAGAAGTTCCACAGATGGCATTTCCTTCACCTGCTGAGATTGCTTTCTTTTGTTTTTCCCTTGCAGTATCAGATTCAACATGATTTGCCATGGGACTTCACTCTTCTTCTTCCCTTGTGTCCATGGCACACAGTAGGAGATAAAAATAGTAATAACTGAAACAGAAAAAATTACATATCCAACAACAAAACCATTTTTGAATGAATCCATTGGTTTTGATCCACTCTCACAGGGATCTAAAGGTTTTCCACAAAGTCCCGGATTATTAGTAAAGCTATCACTTGAAAAAGCATTTTGAAAATAAGGTACCGGACCATATAATAGGTTATCAGAAACAGTAAAGATCTTCATCCGGGCAAGGAAGCCAAGTTCTGGTGGGATTTGACCTATTAGTTGATTGTGGTCAAGATAGAGAACATTTAGAAAAGTACAATTGGCTAAATTCACTGGGATTTCAGCTGAGAATTTGTTGGAAGAGAGTTTAAGGGAAGTTAAATAAGGGAGCATATGTGATATATTAGATGGAATTGGTCCAGAGAGCTCATTGTTTGAAAGGTCTAACCCAGTTAAGCCGCTAAGTGAGCAATTGTTTATGTCTCGAGGAAACTGGCCCCTGAGACCCATGCTGGATAGATTTATGCTCAAAATTTTGTTTTCATCACCATGCCAGCATTCGACCCCCTTAAATAGGCAGATGAATCCTTCTGTATTGTTGTTGAAGTTCCATGTAGATTTGAAGCGATCGTGAGGATCGTCCAAAGAGTCTTTTATAGATCTCAAGCAATTGATATCAGAGACATCGCCAACACTTGCAGTGCTCAGCAATGACCAAATCAAAGCGTAGAGAAATACCACCCTAGCTGTTGCAGTAGAAGGCAGATGCAAGTAAGAATACATTGTAGTCAGAGAAATAGAGATCAAAGATATAGCTAATCACAGGAGGAAAATCAGTTTGATGCTTGAAGTAGTGAAGCTCCTGGCGATAAACAAGAAAATTAAGTGCTGTAGCCAGAGAAATAGAGATCAAAGATATAGCTAGTCACAGGAAGAAAATCAGATTGATCCCTGAAGCAGTTGATCTCCTGGGGATAAACAAGAAAATTATGCGAAGGAAAAGGCCAGAATGAGACCAGTTAAATAGCATTGTAAGAACTCCAATCTCAGAATTTCCACCATTAATGTTCCAGGAAAAAACACGAAGAAAAAAAAAATGTATTGAATATTCCACCCAATGAGTGGTGACTTAATTTTTTTTTTTTTTAAAGAGTAGGGTGGAGGCTTAATTAGCAAGGTGATTTTACTCGCATTGATCAAGTTTTAATCTTTTAAAGAGGTCAATTATAAAATAATTTTTTATAAAATGACTTATTTAATTAAATTAAAAAGTAAATTAAAAAATGATTAGTCTTTTATTTTATTAATCTTTCGGTATCTGATAATTATATTGAATTTAACTAATGTAAAATTAAATCAAGTCAAATCGTATTAAAAAAAAAACTCTCTTCACATTTATTTTTTTATTTATAAAATATAAATTTAAAATTTTATTTAAAAAAATTAAGTTGTTTCTGGTGAAACTAACAGGCCATCCATCGGCAATGATTATTCTTTATGTGTACAATAAAATACCTTGAGACTTAAGAGAAAACTACTGTATATCATTCTTTGGTTCACAATTAAAAAGCAAGTCTACAGCTTAGAGTGTAAAGACTGGGACCCATATTTATGACGGCGGACTGAAGTTTTTGACCAGTCAATTTGATCGAAAGGATTAGAAGTTTAAAAACAAGAGAATACTGCTTTCTTTCCACGTTAGACGAGAAATGAAAAAAAATATCTCAGTCAGACCGGAAATTATAAAAATATTTTATAAACCTTTTTGTTTTTTAATTAATGTTAATTTTACACTTACATTACTTTTGTCACTCAATACCAAGGAACAGTCATTTTTAAAAAAAATATAATAGCTAATGTTTGAAAGCAAGAAATGAAAGCAAGAAAAAAAAACTTGATATTAAATGTTTAATGAAAAGTGTTTTTTCAAGCTGACATCCAAGAAAAATGTATAGGAATATGATAAAATTATTTAAATATTTTAAATAAATTTGTTTATATATTAATTTATTAAAAATATTTAATTAATTTTATGAATATCTCTACATTTTTTTTCTTATAAGTTAACTTGAAAATCCGGCAGCCAAATGTTTAACTCCTTATTAGTTCTGTAAAACATTCTTACCCAAGCATTAGGCCAAAAAGATGATAAGAAAGAAAGAAAGAAAAAAAAAAAAAGAAAAGAAAAGGAAAAAAGAAGTAGAATTCCATTTTCACAGTTACAATGCAAGTCTCCATATTGCTTAGATAACAAAGGTTGCGGCCAGTGCTTTATTATGGTGGAATATCAAGACTTCAGGCCTCAATTACATTTTTTTTTCTCTTGGGTAAATTCAAGCCTTGCATTTGATCAAAGAGTTTAAAAACATTTGTTCATCTTGAGAAATGTAGG